TCTTATCAATTCAAACATTCTAGGATGATTTTTCAATAGCTAGTTCTAGATCTGTTATGTTGGAATAAGTGAGAGAAGATAGTTAACAGAAAAAAGTTCTTCAGTTGTGTTTGAGAGAGAAATTTGCTAAAAGATAAATATATGCTTTCATACGGAACTTTACCAGTTAGAAATTATATTTTTTCTTATCAGCTTTTGTTTTTAGTAGTTTTATAATATTTAATATTATATTAATATTTATTTCATAGAAATATTAGCAGACTAGCCATAGACTTTTAATTTGTCATATCTAGTCTTAAATCTCTCTCTTTTTGGTCATCTTGATCTAAGCCTACTTTACATTTCCATTTCTTCATCTGTACAAAGAAGTCACTTAATCTAAAATGTATTGTAAAGATGTCAGAATTATACAGAAGGCAAGTAAATTTTTATGACTTTTTCATAAATATTGAATAAACATTAATTATTTTCTCTTTCTGTTCATTCAATTTAATCTTGCAGTAGTACAGTTTCCAAATATTTTTTGGCAAAAATTTTATTTCACACAAAAGGACTTTCTGTAAAAAAAATTAAAGGATAAACTTTCAGAAACATCCTTATTATATTCTCTTTAAATTATCACATACATACTCAGCAAAGCTACCTGGTATATACATCAAAGGACATGTCCTACATACTGTTGCCTTCTGGAAATATCATACCTTCTTCAGCTTTCACCCTGCCATTTCTAGAAGCCAATGATATTTAAAGAGGAACTAAAAGAGGCAATAGGATAAAAGGTGCTATTAAAGGACCTAAGGGATTCTTAATTGGAATTCAGAGTGAATTCTAAAATATGTGTGTGGGGGGTAATTTTATGTCTTGAAATATTTACATTGCATAGTAAGTGAAAAGAGACAAACTGAGTTGCTTCTTTATGGGGTTTGAAATACAGCAATTTTTTTAAAAAATCTTCTTCTAGGTACAATATTCTTCTGTAACTGTTTGGACTAATAGTCCTAAAACCTTGCTAGATTCTTAACATTTATGATTTACAAAGAGAAACTTAAATTTAGAAAATTCAATAGATCACCTGAGATATTCTACACTGGGTGAGGTACTTCACACGTGATAGATAATCCTTTTTGCTTTCCTGTATGTATTAAAAGTTTTCTTACATAAACACTTTTTATGATGTAGAAATATTATTTAATGGGAGGACCACTTGGACGAGGATAACTGGGTACTGCTCAGATGGAGTGGCCATCTAAGAACTGTGATATCCCCACACAGCAGACTTGAGAGCATCTCTGAAGCATGATGTTTTAGATATTCACTTCTTAGACTCTCTGAAAGTCATCTTCTTCCTGTGGTGTGTTTGTTCAAGGACAATTAACTAGGGGAACTAG